TATGAGAATCCACCCCGCCCGCACATGAACCTCCAAGATATCCCAGACGGAACCTGTCGTACTGCTATGAAGTCGGTCGCTGAGGTGAACCCCCTGAATTTGATAGCATGGAAGAAGCTGATTTCTGAAAGCGATCCCTTCATATTTATCACTACGTATGACGTTGAGACGAAAGACAAGGATGGAAGGAAGGAGACTCGAAAAATTGTTATCCGACTCAATGCCATGCACGTCGCCTTGAAGTTCTTGGTGGCTTTTACCAGGTGTGGCAGTGATGAAGACCTCTATTCAATATCCAAGGAATCCTTTCGTGTGATTTACATGACTGCTGTCCTGTTTCGGGAGATCATGCTGATGAAGGTGATCGAGGCGAGGTGTGCATTTTCTCGAAACGAGCAGATATTGCATGAAGTGGATGGCCAGGATCACCACAATGGATCATGGCGGTCGCGACTGAGATCGCTCTACTCAGATCTTTTGACTGAAGGACAGGGAGAAAAGCGGGGTGAGCTTCCACAGCAACTGTCCAATATTTTGAAGGAGAAGCTAGTGATGTCCGTGGATATGTACAACTCCGTGCACGATCCCCCGGTCCGTTCAGGTTCACATCACGAGGATAATGATGATCTGAGCGTGGTGGATGGTGAGGATGAAATCCAGGCGGATCAAGTCGAAGACGATGAGGATGTGGTCATGGTCCACGACTTCGATTTATAAGGGGTCGTATTTGATGTGATAGTGAGACTTCTTAGTTCACCAAAGTGAAAAATGAGTAAAGCGGGAGACTGCTGTAGCATGAATGAATTGAGTTTACTTAAAGAGGCCCAGAACTTTGGCAACAGTGATGAATTGCTTCACATGGGCAGACCCTTTGATAGAGATGAATGGGACATGCACTTGAAGTACTCCTAGTACGTCGCTGCGATTTACATCAGCAAATATAGACTGACAAGGATTGGATTGAAGATTCCATCGCAGGTAGAACGACTCCTTCCGGTCCGATGGTCCGCTGACCACTTTTTCAGCACTCATTACCTTGGAAATGCGTTCTTGGAAGTTAAGCTCTGATAGTCTTATGTCTTCCAGTGGATAGGAGTAGGTCTGCTCTATGGAATCCCAAGTGCAATCCCGACGAAATACAACGTGCCGTTGTTCATCCTCGTCATCCCTTATAACAGCAAGAGAATCTCCAATTGTCATATAGCACGGGTCAGAAAGAGATTCGGTGTTGGGACCGGCCATACAGCCTATCACTCTGGCAGATACATAATTGTCGGTACCTTTTTCCAGCCTTTTTGCGATGATCACGTCTCTGACAACTTGCGGTGATGCTGGTCCGAGTGCTTCTGACAAGTCTAGGAAGCTCCTAAAGTATATACTCGTCTCCTTCACAACTGATTTCCGGCACATATAATCTTCCGGAAGAATAGAAACCTTTGTTCGTAGCTGAGCTTTGACTCTTTCGGATATAGAATCAAACTGGAGCAATGTGCAGTCTGCTCGCGCCTTAAATGAGTCTTGTACAAACCACTTCGTCCCACGGGTTATTTCAACTGGGGTAGGACGTGTCGGTGTCTTGAGTAACCAATGCTCTAGACGCAACGAAATAAACTTAAGAGGAATATTGGAGCCTGCATCAGAAATGAGGAGCGGATTCTGAGTCCATAGTGCAGTCGTAATCGAGGATTGCTGTCCTTTCACCACTTCCTCAAGATACTGAAGGCGTCTGGAAAGAGCATTTAGCTCACGTGTATCTTTGATTGTATTCTGGTCAAGTGAGACAGTCGTCGTGTGGTTAACCTTCTTGCATTTTTCTACCATGGCACTACCTGGAGCATAGTCCATATCATCTGCATCCATCGATGCGCTTGCCACGTCTGAGCTTGCGCTGTTATCCAATCGCACGGATGTATCTTTGAGTCTCCAGCTAAACTTTTGTCCATCTTGTACAAACTCGTTTCCCTCCTTGAAAGTAACCTTGCTTTTACATGCCCTGAATCCAAACGCTGCCTTGTATTGAATGGTCCCTTTGAGCACCTCTCGACGATCCTCATGAAGGTAGTTGAGACTAATGACTGTTGCTGGGAACCATGCCTTGCTTTCTTCTTCATTCTCCAAGGTATAGTAGACCTCTATATCACTCCCGAATTGGAGGCCATTGAAAAGATCTGATACCATTATCAACTGGTGGATGGTATCGTCCTCTGTTAATTTCCCTTGGAAAGTGATACTTGAGAAATTTGTTTGAAATATATACCGAAGACTAAAGAGTTGGGGGTAACCATTAATGGTTCCAATTGGAACGTAGTCAGTATATAGACATATGTGTTTTTTGTGAAATCGATATTTTTGTAACGGTCACATTTAAAGATGCACGGCTCTGTGCAGCATCTAAATACCATGGGACTTAGACGTGCAAGTGAACAGCTGGGTATGGGCTCCAAAGGTACCGACATCATCCAGTCCGGATTGCTTTGAAAGTCAGTCATGTGTCATTGAATTACTGTTCTTTTAATCATAGTTGCTTTAGATTTCATTGTGCAATGAAGATAGAAGTGTCACTACAGAGTGATGATGATACTGTTCTCGCTATTGAAAGTATGAATTACCCAGTACCTACTCTTGGATGTCGTCCTCATCAGTGCCCTTCCTCTGTGAATCACTGTCACCACTAGAATCACTTTATTTTTGTGACGTCAACATCTTGAAGTGCTCTTTTGTTGACTGTTTTGTGATTCACACACAAATTGTTTTGTGACTCTCACACCATTGTCTCACAATCATCTCCAACATCAACAAACCATCACAAACCCATTTAAAAAGCATAGCTGATAGCCTTGTTCTACAGACATTTTACGGCCTTCACTCTCGGGCTTGTGAAGCCTGCCTTATTCGTTGAAAAGTGCGTCGCCCAGATTCAAACTCCCTCTCATGGACAGGAGAGGGCCCATGGTGCTTCAGTGTAGGGCGAGAATGCCAGACCGTCCGGCAGCTGCAGCAGATAGCTTGCCTACATGTAGAACACCACTGCACTTGGCGCGAGCCCTTTCTAAGTGCCTTGGGCCCGTCTTTTGTCCGTCTTTTGACCCCAATACAGAGTACGCAGTAGGTTTGGGTCCCACTGACCTTCTCGTGCAGTACATTCCGGTTCAACCTACGCAATTGCGAACACGAAGGGAAGGGGAAGTGTCTCTGGAAATTAGCCGTAGAGAGCTGGAAACGGAGATATTTTTTTGTGTGACGTTGTTCAGTTTGTTTGCCATTTGAGATGGAGAGCCTTTTATATGTGATCTTCGTGATGCCCCCACACAACTCACACAAAGCCATCACAAAATGCAGACTGCCATCACAAAATGCACACTGTCAGTGTGAAAGTTTTGATTTCAAGGTTGACCCCACGTGTAAAACATTGCATATCGATCCACACGTGTAATACATTGCATTTACGTCCACACGTGTGATGTGTTTGTCGCGCGACAAGATCTACAAAAGCTGTATGGGTGGCTACCCATACTAGAATCAACCTCTAAAAAATTAACAAAAATTAATCTAGTTCCAGTATGGCTGGCCAGCCATACAGCTTTTGTAAATCTTGTCGCGCGACAGCCATTACATATTACAGGGTCGCTCAATAGTGCCTACTTTAGTAGTGTTTCCGTCTATATAGTGCTATGGCTCACTCTCTGGCACAGGTTATCATACGCTCACGTGTACCATCCGGCATGGTTCAGTATTCAAAGGATGAAGTTATTTAGTTGTGTTATACAGGCTTTGTTGTGTTTGTGTTAGCAGTGTGCATTGTCCCCAAATATATGTATTTGAGCCTCCTTTCTATAGTGCCAACCTCCCAATAGTGCCATAGCTAGAGGTATGTCACGCTATAGCACTGTATCGTAGGAGGCACTGTATACGATTCCGTATCATAATTGGCCAATCATCATCCACCAGCTTCTCGCACGTGTAAAACATTGCGTTTTGGTCACCACGTGTAATACATTGCATTTTGGTCGCCACGTGTAAAACATTGCATATCGATCCACACGTGTAATACATTGCATTTGGGTCCACACGTGTGATGTGTTTGTCGCGCGACAAGATCTACAAAAGCTGTATGGGTGGCCACCCATACTAGAATCAACCTCTAAAAAATTAACAAAAATTAATCTAGTTGCAGTATGGCTGGCCAGCCATACAGCTTTTGTAAATCTTGTCGCGCGACAGCCATTATATGCTACAGGGGGGGTTGCTCAATAGTGCCTACTTTAGTAGTGCTTCCCTCTATATAGTGCTAATTATTTAGTTGTGTTATACAGGCTTTGTTGTGTTTGTGTTAGCAGTGTGCTTTGTCCCGAAATATATGTATTTGAGCCTCCTTTATATAGTGCCATCCCCCCAATAGTGCCATAGCTAGAGGTGCTTGTCATTCTTGACATTGTGAGCGCGAAAGACGCGAGGAAAGTATATTGAGGGGTGCTGTTGCGGCAATTCTGCCGCGGGGCACCGAGCGACCTGTAATGACGGGAATCCACCCGTATTCTTTTACTCCTCACAAGTCTGCTGCCTCCCCCTTCCTATCTTCGGGGATGGCTTCTTAAGTACACGTTCCCCGGGATTAGTCGGCTATCCCCAACCCTCCCTCCCGTAATTTCCCCTTCGATCCAGCTTCCCCTTGCCCCACCGGTAGCCACCCCCTCGTGCCATTTTCCCTTCGCGCCCTCGGCCGGCGACCTGCGTGGTCTTTCTGCCCCAGCCCGAGCCCCGTGCGGCCTATGGTTTCCCTTCGTCTCCCCGGTGGCTGGCACCCCCAATTCCCCGCGCGTGCTGTCTCGCTCCCTCCTTCCCGCCTTTCGCTTGCCCGTCCTTCGGCGGTATACGGATGCGCTCCGCCCCGTGGTACGCGTGTCCAGCCGCCACCTGGCAACCGAATGCCTCGTAACACTGCTTGAGACACACAGCAATCTCACAAAACTGGGCTTCGTCTCGTTGAAAAATTACGGAAGATGGTTGGTGTGGCATTGAAATTGAATTTTTTCATTCTTTTGAGATTGACCGGTGTTTTGAGTAATCCCACGACCTCAAATTGACCAAGCAAAGTCCCAGGGCACACATCAGTGCAGATTGCAGCACAAGCAGTTGAGGACACCAAGTACAGCTTTTCGGCTCCAGCTTCAAGTACGTCTTGCCGCCACAATTTTCGATTTCCTGCTTTAGGACGTGCACAGCAGTCAGAAAACAGTCATAGAGGCTTCGTGAGACTGGAGTCTTGAAGCATTCAAGCGTCACCCTAGAAAGGCTGCACTCCAGAATACATTTTGCTTGCTTTGCATCATTCTCACCTCCAATCAATCGTTTCGGGAATAGGCCAGGCTGGTCGCATTAGAAGAAATCCCTCCGTGTGTAATCATGGCTTCTCAGAAGACAGCGTTTGAAGTCTCGAGCCCATTGGCGAGACCCATGAATTCACGCATTTCTGTGCAACTCCAAGAGAGCCCGTGCCAAGCACTTCAGAGTCGCAGGACACAGAAGGTCGCAAGGCAGAATATCGATGCAAATGGAAGTGGACAAAAGCAGTAAGCAACGAGATAACTCCAAACCCCGGCAGACTCATATTTCCCCGGAATTGGCAAATCAAGCCATTAATGATGCTATTACATACTCAGGTGGGGACGTTGTGGTTATGGCTAGAACCTGTGCAAGTGGATTTTGTGATGCATTACAACAATGCTATGGTTCAGAAGAAATATCAGATGTGTTTATTGCTTGCGGCTCAGGTTTAAACGGCTTAATTGGATTGCAAGTCGCTGTAGAGCTGCAGAAGAGAGGTTATGCACCAGCGGTCTATGCTGCAGAGCAATCTAAGCATGCTAATTTCCGATCTGTCTGCGATGAAGCCGGAATCGACTTGCACGACTTCATTCCCAGTACGCTAGAGTTTTATTATGACATCGTTGTAGATGCCTTGCTTGGAACTGGCTTTGATGGGGGGGACATTCGACAACAGTACTGGACTGTTTACGAGATGCTAATCTCAACTCGGCTTGCGATTGTGAGCCTTGATGTACCATCTGGCTGGGATCTTTCGACGGGTCCAAGAAAAATTGATGTGACAGCAGATTCGTTTATCAAACCCGAAGTGCTAGTGTCTTTAGAAGCACCAAAGCTTGGATCAAATGTGTTTGCCGGGGGCTACCACTTTATAGCTGGTCGACATCTTCCTCAAAGCTACTTTTGGAAAAGGGAATCTCTGTTCCGGCTTTTCCCGGCGAGGAGTCAAACTGCGTGCTCATGTCAAGTAACCCGTTTCGCTTCGAAGGTGCTAATGGAGAGACATATGGGCGACCTGGACAATTCAATGCCACGCTCTACACGAAAAACCCTACCCGAGAATGGGTCGATATTGACAAGCACGATGACCTGTGGGACGAACTAGACTAGCATTAGAGTGTGCTCAGTGAGTTTAAGAGTGGAAATCATTGTCAAGTGCTATACAGGGACTCTAGCTGCGAAAAAACGCTGTCTACTGGCCAACTTTTTTGCTTAACGCGACGCGCCACATAATGTAATTCGACGTGGCCTGCGTCAGCGCGGAAGCTGTGACTTTTCCTGTTTGTCGCCATACGAACCCACACGCAACACCGGTGACACAGGCGGAGGCCATGTATCGAACGTTTGGCGGGTCATATCCAAGTTTTGATTTCCCTAAGTGTGCAATGCCGAAGGCACCAGACGCGATGAGTAGTGCAGATATGGACCCGTGGCCTAGGCGTTGCTCCAACATATTCTGAATCATACCCCTAAATATAAGCTCCTCGGTAACGCCGTTCATGAATATGCCTAGTAAAGTGGCGGCTTCTTTGGCCGCGTCTAAACGAGGTGGCGTCTTGACGTCAGCAAACCGGGTTAGGGCGGCAAGTGGAACGGTGATGAGATCAGAGGCAGCACCCACAGCTAGCGCTATCAGCACATCGACTGGGGTTACCTTGAAAGTGTAGCCCAAGTCACGAGCGTGGGCCAGCTTTGAAAAGGGCGTAGAATTGTGAAGCAGTTCACGACTGTCAAAGCTGCGGTGAACAAGCCCCAGGCTGTAACCTTTCCAGTCGGTGATATGTCCGATGACAACAGCTTAAATTCCAGTGGAAGCCAGATGCAAAGAACGGTAATCAGGTCGGCCATTTCGGAGCGAAGCGATGAGTGGTCGTCTGGCTTTGTGAGCTGAAGCAGTGACGGGATGAGGATATACGCTATGTAAATTGCCAATATAGGGACTGCGCGGCGGCGACCGTCCATGATGTTGGCTGCACCGGCGAGGCAAACTGGAACCAAAACTAATAGCACCGTCCAAGCTGCTTGCCATCCATGTCCAAATTCGTTGACAAATGTCGAAGAAGAGTAAGCCAGGAATAAAAGAGTCCAGCACATCGAGGCTGAGGACTCCAAAGTATGGGCTCGGCCGCCTGGTTCTGGCATTTTTGGAAAGCCGCGGTCAGTCATTGGCTCCATGCTGAAGGATGGAACGAAGATTCTACTCGAACAGTGAAGTACAACACGGTTGAAGCTGTTTCAAATGTCTCTGCGGTAGCCGGAAAACGCTCTTGTAGAAAGCAGGGTTGCCTTGAGCACTTTGTCGTTGCTCGCTGCGATTTTTGCGTTTCTAAAAGGTTTACTAGGAAGGTACTCTTGCTGGGCCTTGCACGTGTTCGGGTGTGTGTGAACATCCGCACACGTTGCAGACTTACAGTGTATGCAGGCGAAGTAGGGGGGGTTTTCTCTGGGCAGAACGGACCGGTTGCAGGAGGGGGTCGCTCAATTGTGCCTACTATAGTAGTGCTTCCCTCTATATAGTGCTATGGCTCGCCCTCTGGCACAGGTTATCACAAGCTCACACGTGTATCATCCGGCATGGTTCAGTACGCAGTACAGCTATCTATGCTGTCTTAAAGGAGACCCTGACCAAAGCATGTTGTGTTATGCAGGCTTTGTTGGGTTTGTGTTACAAGTGTGCTTTGTCCCCAAATATATGTATTTGAGCCTCCTTTCTATAGTGCCATCCCCCCAATAGTGCCATAGCTAGAGGTATGTCACGCTATAGCACTATATCGTAGGAGGCACTGTATACGATTCCGTATCATAATCGGCCAATCATCATCCACTAGCTTCTCGCACGTGTAAAACATTGCGTTTTGGTCACCACGTGTAATACATTGCATTTTGGTCGCCACGTGTAAAACATTGCATATCGATCCACACGTGTAATACATTGCATTTGGGTCCACACGTGTGATGTGTTTGTCGCGCGACAAGATCTACAAAAGCTGTATGGGTGGCTACCCATACTAGAATCAACCTCTAAAAAATTAACAAAAATTAATCTAGTTCCAGTATGGCTGGCCAGCCATACAGCTTTTGTAAATCTTGTCGCGCGACAGCCATTACATGTCATTCCAAAGAAACTTGTCTGCGCATGCAGGCCTGCGCGGTATACCCTTCCCTAAAAGCATTATTTGGTAAAAAGGCTAATTTGATGATTCAGTTCTCGTTGCTGCCAGTGCGGACAATGGGTGCAGTCTTTCATCCCTGGACTTCAGGGAAACGCTCCGGGGCCTAAGCGTTCACCTCTTCTACAGTTTCCCGCAATGTTACCTCCGTGCCTCTCCCCATCCCGCCAAAAAAGAAAATAGCCGGCTCACAACACCTTTAAAGGCCAAACAGTAGTATTAGATCCACGATCAAACACTTTCTCGTCATGTTCACGAAACAGGCCTCCAGTTTCCCAAAATGTTACCTCCTCGCTTCTCCCCGTCCCGCCAAAAAAATGGCGGGCACACAGCACCGTTAAAGGCCAAACAGTAGTAATTGATCGACGATCAACACCTTCTCGTCCTGCTCCCGGGATTGGCCTCCAGTTATGGACAATTCACGCCCCCTGCGATGTCGATTGGAATGCGTCGTCAGGCAGTGCGCGCCAAGCAAGGGGCAGACGGGACGCAAGGGCCAAAGACAAACGGCAGACAGCGGTAAATTTATTGAAGATGAAAAAAAGGTTGCCGATGTGGTTTGCCTCACAGTCGACTGTGAGGCGAACCACACTGATGATCATCAGTCGTGGGACAGCAGACCGATTACAAAATGTCTCAAGACCAAGGACGACGACAAACTGTCCCGCCTTCTTGACCCAGCCAACAACCGTCCCGGAGCCCCCCGTGTCGTCAAAGCGGACGAGGACAAAATCATTAAGCAGCGCATTAAATACACTGCCTCCCGGGGATTTGCAATTAACAATTGTACATTGCGAGCTATCATGGCTCGCATTGCCAATGATGGTCGACGCGGTTTTCAGACGAAGGACAACATGCCCTCCCCGGACGTTATTCGTACCTGGAGAACCCGAAACAGGGATATCACGTTTCCAACAGCCGATCCCACGAATCTTCTAATCCTAGTTACTCCCCGACTCCTCTAAATCTCCGAGGCACTGCGAATCCCTAAAGTACAAAAACCATCCTACTCCTTACTCCTGAATCCCCTGCCGGCCTGTGACCAGTGGCCTCTGATCACAGCTCCCCACTGATCACCGGTCCTAACTCTCAAAATTTGCACCCCCATTTGCAAATTTTATACAGCAATGACGATGTCGGACGACACCCCCTGCCGGCCTGTGATCAGTGGCCACTGATCACAGCTCCTCACTGATCACCGGTCCTAACTCTCAAAATTTGCACCCAAATTTTGCAAATTTTATACAGCAATGACGGTGCACCGGTTGACAACGAGAGTGGGTGTATGGTGAGGAAAACGAAAAAGTTAAGGATCAGACTGGCTGCAGGAACTAGAGAGGTGTAGGGACACGGACTTCGAAAGGCGGGGATACATAACGTGCCCCCTTGCAACAAGCCCACAAAGGTAGCAGACCTGAATTTTGTTTGCAATAACGATACAGTTTATATGTCGCAACTACGGATATAGAGGCCGGCGCAGAGCTTATAGTCAGTGCATAAAAGTATGCAGAGCTGTGTGGTAGTACTAAAAACTGTTGAATAAAGACCAGAGTTCTTGTTCCGCACATATACTTATGCCTGACGTGGCGGATACCCTTCCTTTCGCCCCCACACTTGATAAATTCCACCGTCTGGGAGACTCCTGTGTTGTACTGCTGAGTTTGATGTGCATATGAGACACATATGGTCGTCGCTTTCGGCGCTGTCCTGCTCGCAGTAGTGCATAACTAATGCCTTTCGAACGTAGCTTCCAAGCTCAACCAGCGCTCTTCTTTCGTTTCGTTGTTGTATCATCACCCCGTATCCATCTTCTTCAGCTTCGCACTCCTTCACTGCGCAATATCGTGTTGTTTCTTGACTTTCTTTCTCACGAGCGTCCAGAATCCGGACTTGAACCACGGCCAGCACCATCCAGAACCTTCTGTCCTCATCATGCTCAGAATCATTGTTCTCATGAAGAGTGAATGTGAGATCAGGATCTGCGGTCGAAACTACAGAAGAATGCAAGGCTTGAATCACGCTCCCATAAGATATAGTGGCCAAAACAGATGTCTGGTCTCTTTTTCGCCCGTCTGTTATTTTGCACCACTTGGCAGTTCCATATATCTGTACGGTTACGGAATTTCCATGGTCCGGCCGGCCACTTCTAAGACGTAGCTTTTGTTTCCATAAATGCTCTAAAAACTCCCTTGCTTTCAACAGAAATGCAAGGTCAGTTGATTGGAACATTTCCGAATGTTGACCTCCGTCTGCAGTGTTTCCGAGGTTCATAATTACTGAATTGTCTACGCGCCAGTCCTTCCTACTGAGAGACGACGATAAGAGTCCTTTCCGATGTAATCGAAGGTTCTGCAGAACAGGAGTTGGGAAGCAGTCCTGAAGCTTTTGTAGAAATCTTCCCGCATCCTGAAGCCCAGAACTGTCGTAGCCCAAGAGATTTAAAACCGACTTCGCTGTCTCAAAGCTCCAGCCGTTCTCACTAGTGTCAATGCCTTCAGTTTCAATTGCCAGACGAGTCTTCCAGTCGTTGGCAAGACGATGTTCCATAGCCTGTAATTGTGAGTTTTTCATATTGGATTGAGCTACCCCCCTCTTCAATGGCTGATGAGCGCTTTCAAACAACAACTCTTGTACATGTCTTACACTACCGAACAGTGGCAATGTATGTGTGAAGAACTCCAACAATCTGTGAAGGTTTGGTTTGTCCAAATGAGTGGAGGCAAAGCTGTTTGTGCGACACAGCTTATCTACTCGAGATAGGTAACGAAGTGCCATATTACGAATCTCCAGAAGTCTCTTGGTTCCTCCTTCTTCATTGTGTGTGTCTAATGACCTCTTACCATCTATCCTTGAGTCCGGAAAGTACTGCGTTCTGCTCACGAGAGAGGAAAACAGGTCGAGGAGGTCGAGAGCTTCATCGATAGTAGCACAGTTTCCGCTCTCTCTCTCGCCTGTGATTTTGTTCACGTACCAAGCACTCTTCATCGCCCGTGATGCTACCAAGAGCAGGCAGTACATAGACGATATCGTCATTGAATGTAGCACATGCTTGTCATGGTTGATTAGGCTCTCCTGATATATGAGATAGCCATCCTTCAAAGCCATCTTGGCAATTGCCTCGGCATCTTTGCGTACATCTTTTGGTAGCTGTTATACAGAGATTCATGATGTCGCGACCAATCCCGAGGAAAAGATGATCGGGAGCCACAACGCATGAGCGATACGAATCGAAAACAGAAGGAACAACCGGTTTGCTACTGCCGAGTACACGAGGCACACGAGCGCGAACTTGTCGCAGTTTCTCAGAGAGTTGATGAAGTGCCTGCAAACTTGTCTCAAACGTATCTGCGTCATCCATTCCGAGGGCTTTCAACTCTTCCCTGGATAACTTGGATCTCCTCAATGCAGTAGCCCGGTTCTCATCTCTCGCGAAAGATGGATGGTCGGAATGGATGCGGGTTGTGTAACAATACTTGCTTCCTTGAAATCCAGACTTGTCGTACCTACCATAGCTGCATAAGTGACATGGAACATTGGAGCAGTGCCCTAGTAGGTCCAAAGTGTGGGACACTGCAGGATAGTCTCCAACGTACCCGACGACATCGAGAAAAAGAACAACCTTCTCTCCTTTTGCAGTGGTCAACTCAAATCCCTTTTCTGTCCCCTCAATGATATCATCAATAACTGCCGCCAGTACCTCGTTTGTAGATACCCCTGGAGGAGTTAGCCCGATAGGTCTGATGGCTCCTGCTCCATTGCGGTTCTCCGGAGCCATACTTATTGGCAGCATGTATACACCACCCATGCTTCCTTTCTTTCCAATGTACGGCGTAAATCCATCAGAGTACAGAAACATTCTATACACAACGTACTTTCTTCCATCTTCCAAACGTCCACTGCTTTCCGCATCGACGCGATGACCCTTGTTCATTGGATTATCATCGGCAGATACTCGTTTCACTACGGTTTTGTCAAACATCTGGTTGTAAACGCCCCTATTCGTTCCGGTGAGATTCGAAAGATTTCTTTCAGAAGATACAACCAAGCTGGTGGCGTAGTCGTCATCACAGTTCTGTCTTCTCCACATCCTATACACAAGGAAGGGTGTTTGCGTTGGTTCTTCCGAATCTTCGGCGTCTGGCTGTCCTAGGAGTGCAAGTTCGACGACCATGTCACTGGGAAGGAATGCCCGAGATTCTGGTCTCTTCGTCTTCATCGTTTTGGTACGCTTTGAATTGGACTCCGCCTGCGGTTCTGTCCAGTTTGGCTCATCGTAAACAAAGAAGGAAGATACAACTGCATGAAATCTCATGTTCGTTGAGGACGTTACTGCAAACTGGGCTTGCATCAATCTGCCCTTCACCGCGTCACTTGTTTCGACCGTAATGTTAAGAAGGAGCCCTTTTCGCAGTTTCACTGTCACACCATCTTCGGTTGGAATCCGATAAACAGATAGACTCCCAGCCCTATCCTTGATTATTGGAGTGTCCTCAATATCCGAGAACCTCGGTATCTCGATTGACGGATCCATATCATGCCGTCTTCCTTGCACCATCTCCCGCAA